TAACACAACAAACATTGCAAGGGTGATAATGGATGTTTTTGACCAAATACCGAATTAAACAAGGAAAATAAAGACTTACCCTAAACATTGACTCTTGAACGCAAACATAAACAAACTTAAAATGGTACTTATTACCTCCACTCACAACATGCACTAAAAACTCAAACTTCATGAGCCAACAATTGCATCTCATAGGTTACAAGAGATCTCTTGTAGTCCTCGATTAACTTCTTAGCAATAACAATGGAGGGTTGAGAACTTTGATCTAGCAAGTGCATAGTATTTAATTAGAACAATTCTCCAAGATCATAAAATACTGAGGCATTTCAACAGTATCAACACTGCTTTCACTGCCCTTTGCAAATTACTAACCTCACGTTCTAAATCTAAATCAAAAACTCTATGTACGAGAGAATTTGTTCGTAGAAGCATCTGGTAGACTTTATAAAACCCATCCAAATATGTCCAAGAGAGGACTTTAGCCACATATGAACAAATATAACGAAAAGAATCATCATCATCTTTGCTATGATTGAGACTAGCCTTCAAGACAGTCTCTCATATCAGACTTTCTTGACCATATATATCCTTGATAGACAAAAGCATGATTCACATGGTTGAACACCGATCATCTTCTCCTTCACTCAGATCATAACCAGCTGCGTCAAACACTGCTTTCAAATGTTGATCAGAGAACTTCTTAAAGTCGATTTCAGTAACATATATCCTTGTAAAGCATGATTACTAAATAAACCAAAGAAAGCGATCGCATTTTTAGGTGGGATCACTAAAAAGTTTGGTGCATCGCTTGAAGAGACTTTTACGAGAACGTTGCTACCTTTCTGACGTATATGTTGTTTGATAACATATGTTACTTCCAGGATTAAGCAAAAGATCCCACCGAGGTAGAGAGTGGCTCTTTGGTCTTTACACATAAAGCGTTTCTTCTTTCCATGCTCAAGACACAACTGAAAGGCCACGTAATTAGGGTTGGTTCTTGTTGCAATATCTAGATAACATGTAATCATTTCGATATCTCTGATTACAGTGAATAGAACATCGCCCAAAGTCGTGAGGTGGTGAAGATGCTGCTCTAGTAGGTCGAACATCGGTTCGAATCTCATACTTTGAAAATTCCTTCTAATTTTAGGTTCTTGCTCCTCGAGATAAGCCATTTTTCTTCACCGAGAACAAATATAAACAAAACTAGCGAGTGTTTTATTGAATGGAAAAGAAAATGAAATGGTTTGGCCTCTAGGGTTTATAAACAGGGAAAGAGATGGAAGTGGAAACGTTGAAATAATGTTGAGCTGAAGACACGTGACTGTTTGTTATTGGTTTTTAGGATGGGAAATTGAAGGTACTGACTCCTAGTCCCAATATTAGAATGTCTTTTCGGGCTTAAAAAACAAATAAAACCATTGGAAAACACAAATATGGTCATATTGGGAGTTTAAACGTTAAATGTACACAACCAAGAACAATAAGAAAGAGCCACGTGTCTTAAGCCACTCATTATCAATTTTTCAAATGTTCCCATTTCTGACCAATCACTAGTGACTAGCTTTGGATGATACGATTTTGTGCAATCACCTACACTACAAAGTGCAAACTCCTTGCCGTTTATCTCTCCGGGGAGGTAATGTAAACGGAGTGCTGTGTGAATGATTCGACGTCGTTTTGAATAGTAGAGATGAAATTATATAATTGAATTGGATATCATCTTACACCGAACAAAGAAAATCTCACTTTATTTTCTTTAGATTTGTTTCCGAATTTATGGAATTAATATAGATCTGTTGACTCATCAAAGTATTTATTATCGGAAAAATTGTGTAAATGGGTCAAATTTGATTTGATTTTGTCCTACTACCCCTTTCTCTATTTTTACCTAATTTGTCCTTTGGACATTTCTAATAAATCATTAAAATAGTTTTAACAGCCAAAAAAATTAGAAAAATTCAAAACAATAAAAGAATCATTGGGAAGAATATAAGTATATTTTTTTTATTTTAAAAATATGGTTAGAATTGAAAATAATTTTCTATTCTACCTTTTCCAGAAATCAAATTCTACCGTCTACGGGGTAGTAGAATATATATTCCACAAATTGGTATGAGTCTACTGTATTTAGAATATAGGTTCTACGGATTATTGATATATCTACGCACTCGTAGAATATAGGTTCTACTCATTACTCTATATTTTACGATTTAATTGATTTGGTAGAGTACATGTTCTAATGTTTGTTCTATATTCTACCAATTTTCGGAATATATATTCTACCGTAACTACTATAATCCACCATTCGTAGAATTCATCTTCCAGTTTTTTCCTTTTGTCTATGGGTGGTAGAATATATATTCTGCGAAAATATCCTAAAATCTAGGAAATATGGTTAGTAAATATTCACCATATCTTTCCAAATATTTTCTAAAAAAATAAAAAAACTGTCTGTAACCG